GTGCCGGGGTGTGGGCATGGTGGCTGGTGCGCAGTTTTGCCTGGGGCTGCCCAGGGTTGTGGGGTGACTGGCGGGGGCAAGGGCTGCTGGCTGGGCAGGGGCCATTGGGGTGTGAGTTGGGTGTTGTCAGGGCCCGAGCACGGCCATTCGGCAGGGGCGCTAAGCAGGATGCTGTGGCCGCCGCCACCTCCCAGCGCTCGCGCATGGCGACGGCAAAGTGCATCCAACCGGGCCCTCAGGGCCAAACCCCGAGGCAGTGGAAGTCCCCGCCGCCGCCGCAGCCGCCGTACCTCATCTGTGAGTGCTTTATAGGCTTTGCTGATGAAGGAGGCAAAGTAGGCCGCGGCCGCAGGGTCGGGGTTCTGCGTATGGCACGGGGCACAGGACGGGGGGGGGGGCTCAGGGATACTGGGCCGGGGCGATCTCGGCAGCAGCAACGCCGCCGCCACCGCCGCCGCCGCCGCCGCCGCCGCTTCGAAAGCAGCCAAGCCGCCCCTCTGAAGCGCAAGGGGCATCGGGCACTGCTTGTGCTGCCGGGTGCTGCTGGGTGAAACGCTGCTCGGCGGCCCGGCTGGCGTGCTGCGCCCGCTACCAGCCCGCAATCCCATTTGACCCCGGGCCGGCCGCGGCAGCCTCGTTACGCGCATAAGAGCGAGCGCAGCGCGGCCGCGCCGGCCGCCGCCACGCGCGGCGCCGACCTTGTCCGGGTGGAACTGCAGCGACAGCTTGCGGTACGCCTTTTTGATTTCCTTGTCGGTTGCAGTGCGCTCCACGCCCAGGATTTCAAAGGGGTCGAACGGCTTGATCTCAGAGCTGGCCGCCTTGACGTAGAAAAGCATCAGCACCCACACGCCCCATGCCAGCAGCATGAGCAGCGTGCCTGCAGGGCAATGTGCGGCCAGGGGGGGGGGACAGCGAGGCGCGCGCATTGCTCAGGGGTGGCCACCGCCGATCGAGGGTGGTCCAACACGCTCGCATCCGCCAGCAGCCCTGGCAGCGGCGCTCCCCGCCAGATGCTCCAGCCGCGGCATCATAGGCGGACGCGGCGCCCTGCCGGTATCCTGGAGATAGCCCGCCCTCAGCACTCCACGGTCTGGACAGAGGTGCCCACCCTTTGTGAATGCTTTGGACGCCAGCGTCTGCCATCCTGATGCCTTCTTCTTTGACTGCAGCGTGGCAAGGGATGGAGTACAGTTGCTTGCCCGTGGGGTGCCATGGCTCCGGAGTTCTGGAGCGCTTCCCAACCCAGCGCGCGCCCCTCAAAGCACAGCAGCAAGACGCATCCGGCGGGCGCACCTTGACGACAGCCTCCGCCTTCTCATCCGCGGAGCTGCACAACCGGTAAAGCGTGTAGGGGATCAGAATCAGGGAGTAGATCGTCAGCATAAAGATGGCGAACAGCCCCGATGGCTGCTCCTCCGCCATGGTGCTTGATGCCTGTGGCGCTCAGGGGGCTGTTTGGCCAAAAGGGGCTGTCCCACTCCTCCAGGATTATCAGACGTCCAATCACCACCCCAGCTGCCCAGGATGAAGGCGGGCAGAGGCCGTTGATGCCAGACCGAACTCAGTTGAGATCAAAGGCACAGCACAAGGGCAATGATACAGGCGGTTCAGTTTCTGAAGAGCGCTCAACATCAAGGATTTGGGGGGCACGACACCTGGCGCGCATCCAGAGCAGCTGCCCCAACTGCTGGATGCTCAAGCGCAGCAACCGGGGTGCTGGATACCCGATGTGTTGTGGGTTGAGGGCTGGTTGCTCCCAAAAAGAAAAACTGTTTTTCCTTGGCTCAACACGGACGGCCAAAGGGGGGCTCGGCGCATCGTGCTTGCGGACGGGATGGTTACGGCCCATTGGGAAGTTTTTTCTTACGCCAGAGGGTGTGTCTGTTGCCCAGGTCTTTGCGGTGAGCCTGTGCAAACTAATTACAAGTTGCCACTGTCAGAAATTCACAAATGCCAGACGGGGGACTTTGTGGCGCGCGCTGGGGCCTCCTACAGTCTTCCCTCGCTACAGTGAACCCATTGGGGGTCGGCGGCACGTTCACTATAGCCGGTTTGTTCGCTATCGCGAATAGTGAAATCTGGTAGCTGCTGGTTCGCTGTGGCGGGGGACGTCACAAATCTCAGCATTTGAGGGCTGCTTTGCACTGTATGCCAGCAGCCACATACCAAGCAAGTTTATTTACCAAAATCAGCTCAATGGGGCCAAAGGGGTGGTAGGCTGCCTCGCCAGCTGCCCCACCGGCTGGAAGAAGGTGCGCATGTCCTGCTGCTTGCGCTGCAGCAGGGACGCCACAATCGCCCTATCAAGCCACTCCTGCATGCTGGCAAGCACAATGCCATCCTCTGGCGTAAAAACACCAGGGGAATCGCCAATGAAGCTGCTCAGGCCAGCAAAGCACGCCCGGGCCTGTGCGTGCGTAACCCGCTGTGCCGCCTCCTCATCGCTGCAGCCA